CGCTTCAATGTGGAAGATCAGATATCTCTAACTGGAAATGAATTCCTTGGCCAATACACCTTGCCAGTGCAGAGTCTGAGCAAAGGTAATATCCTTGCGAGTGAACCACATATAATAGCACAAAGTAATCTGCAACAATGGAGGCTTTTATCCTTGCTCTAGCGTGGATGGAGTGCTGCATTATGCTCCTTTCCCACTAGAAGCTCTGCATTATGTATAACAATAGGTAAAAATTGCACTCTTTGTATTTTTAAGTCATTGTAGTCTCTGAATGCAAATCCACAGTATAGAAATCAAAAGAATATTAATGACCATTAATTATTCCTACTGCACCAATCCCCCACTCACATGCCAATCAGAAAGAGATCAGACAGGGATTTAGCTTGTTTGTACTGGAAGCAAGAAGAGCAATTAGGCAAAATTAGGAAAAAAACACTACAAAGGCAGAAGTTTGGAGCACTTGGTAGTCAGGCAAGTAGTTGGGCAGTTGGGCCCAAATAACAACACAAGTCAGAAGTAAAAAAGAACCCCACAACCCCCCCATACTACCAGCCTACAGCTAAGCAAAATATTTACAGTGTTTCTATGGGTAGTATTTCTTTTATTGCACCATTACAGCTCCTGGATTAATCTCACGGATTAATAGTCTGCACAATAAAGAGTAGACACAGAAGTCAGTAGGCCAAGGAGAAAGGCTTATGTAAAATGCTTGTTTTACTATATTGACTTTGTGAAGCTATTTTGGACAAAACAAGCAGGGCCAACTTTTATTAGTGAATGAAGATGTCAAGACACAAAGTCAGAGCTGGCAATGGCACTGTGCCTTTTTTTTTTTTTTTTTATTGGATTTAACAGTTTTTTTAATGGCTTTTTCCTTCCAGGTTCTGAAAACATAAAGCTGTTTGTGATTCTTTCTAGAAGCAGAACAGTTACACAGGAACAAAGACTTTGCTTTTAAAGCACTCTTTCCTCTCCAACGTAAATCTTTACATTGATCACTCTCCATCTTATTTTTGTTTGCATGTTTTGTGAAAATAACCCTTTCCTCGATACTGAGACAACTTTAAACAGCAGATATTAACAGCTTAAATATGCTTGCAGAACCATCACTTGGGGCAAATTTATTTGTAGATTTTTTTAGTGCATTTCTAGTGTGCCTGTATAGTTTAGTTTGTGATGTAAATTCATCACAAATGATGAATTCACATTTTTGAAATGTAAAAGAATGCAGATCATACACTACAGATTTTGAGTGAAGTCATTCTAAAACATTAAGAAATGAGTGTAGATGCAATAAACATAAACAGCACTAAGGAAATTGCTTCCCTCCCTTAACACACAGAGAAAAATGTAAATGTCATTAAGCCACCCAGAGGCATAAATGAAATGCTGTTAAGAAACAAGTTGACAGCTATTTTTCAAAATTCCTGGTGATACTTAACATTGAGACCTCCGAATTCCCAGGGTGGAACCACAATTTCATCTTAGGTACCTGTGCTCCTAAAATAGTGAGAAGCGAATATAGTTTCTCTTACAACAGACTTCCCAACAGCCTGTATTTCTGAGGACTGTCTAAGGCAAAATACTAAGGAGTGAGTTGTGACTTAAACCCTCTTCAAGGCTCTGACACTTCATTTTGCATGATAGGACTCGGATCCATATCCCTGAGGTTTCCCCTGAGGGCAGGCTGCTTGAGCTCAGCCTTCCGAGCGCAGCAGTGCTTGCATCTCCCTCTGGTTTGCTTGTTTTTGGTTTTGACAGGTAGCAGCACCAAGTTTTGCTGTTGCCACCCTCCCCTGCACTCTCTGCTGAAAGGGTTCAAGTTTATATCATCACTTTCCTCCCTCTCCCAGCTGTTTTTTACATTTTTTTTCACTGTTTTTTTACACTGTTTAATATTATGTAATGTGGCCATTTTACAATTTTACAAAGCAATAATAGTTTTAGGTTGGGGAGGGGACGTGTTTTGCTTTCGGGTAAGTTAATTAGATGTTTAGAAATATGGCTTTTCCAAATACTTCAGGTCTCCAGATGCATTTATAGCTTTGGAACCATGCCATGCCTCTGATACTGGGAAACAATCTTTCATGAAAAAGATCCTTAACGAGTTCAAGAGGTCAGGGCTAGGAGACAGCTTAAAACTACACTGATTTTTATGCTTCAGGAGAATAGTGTGTTACCACTGCAACACTGATTTCTTTTTTGTTGCTTCCAATGAAAATGGGAATGGTTCTTTTCCCAAAAGATGTATCCGTGTTGAATCACAAGTTATTTAATGTGAGGTGCTATATTAAAATTAAAATATTAAAATGTGTGCCTCCCTAATCCTTAAATATCACTGGGATAGAAGTCTGAAGAACATCTAAAAGGAATGGAAAGTTTCTAACGGGAGATTTTCCGTCCAAAAATGCCAGATTTGAATTACTGTATATGTAAAGGAGAAAAACAATATAGTCTTGGGGCTCTCTGATTTTAGTTTAAGTGTTACTTGGAGAATCATATATTGTGCTTTATTTGCACAGCAAGTGAGGTATGTACTGATGGAGATAACTCCATCAAATGGAGATGGGGCTCCATCAGGAGCTTTGCACTGGTGGTTAACATGCTGATTGAGTGACCTTCTCTTTCCAGGTTACCGTAACATTCCTCTGTATTCCAAAGCTGGTGACAGCCTGGAACCCGCGTCGCTGTTTGTTTACATCTGGTACTATTAAGGAGGCTCCCTCGTAGCAGTAGTTTCGAAGCACCACCCTGCTCAATAAAGCAGACATCACAAGGCTCGCAACAAGCCCGTGGTCTGATTTCCAGGGTGCCCTGTTTGTTCTCGGGGATCTTATTAAAGCTGTTGGGACTTCTCGCGTGAGTAAATGGGACCCTAAGTAAGCAACGTCTCCAGATTTCAGCCCTCCTGTAATTTAGGAATCATTCTGAAAGATGGAACCTTTTGAGGAGATTCTTGTTGAATTCACTTAATAATTTTATTTGAAACTAATTGCAAAATGATAATTAATTACCGAATGAGAATAATGGTTTAATATTTGTCATGTAAATTTTAAAAATTATGAGCATGTTACAGGGAATCTTTTTATTTATACTGAGCAAAAGCTTTAATAATTTTACAATCAATGTTTCCAAGGAAATGGAAAAAAAATGACACATACAATTTACCCTTTAAATTAATAATAATGGCAGCTTTTGATTAGGAGGTAACTCATTAATTTTCATTTTAATTTTGCTACCTTCAAGAAAACAGTCCTGAGGGAAACAGCTCTTAACATGACAAAATCTCAGATGCTCTTGGCACTTTTGTTCAGCCTAGTCTTGAGCCTCCTACTGTTCAAGATAGAGAAGCCATGAACTGAATTGTACAGGGCTCTGTTCATCATAGCAGCAGGGAGCTTGGGATACACCTTCCTGTGAGCTCAGTAAATAGGGAACATAATGGGCAGCTTTGAGGTGGACTAGAGGAACCAATGTAGAAAATGGAGGGGTCAATTGTGTGATTCAAGGTTTCTCAGGGCAGCTTCAGGCCTGACATAACTATCTTGTACATTAGACAGAAATTGCCCCCCTTCCTTACAAAACTGTTGCTGAGCTTCCACAGGAGCTTGTCTACACAGCTAACTGCAGACATGCTACTCACATATGGATTTTTTTCAAGAGACTTTTCATTTATTGGTTTCTGCAATACCAAGCACCACTGCTGGTGTTTGCAGACAGTTCTGATAATCCTATTTCATGCTATTTTTAGTCACATATCTTTCATTAAAAAGAAAAAAAAGTATGTTGTTCCTAGATGGAAAATCAGGGCATGCTGTAAACAATGATTAGAAAATGTCACAGGAAATAACACTATTAGAAAATTGCATTAAAGTTCTAATATAGAAACCAAGACAGAAGACTAAGGGTAATCTGAAATCAATATTGAACTGTAAGGTCAGGTAATCTGATAACATTGTAAGCTGGGCACAATATGTTTTCTGTGCTTGAAGTGGCAAGTCAGTCTGTTCACCCTGGAATGGCTATAATCTAAAATGTTAGACTGGTTGATCTTTGTACTGATGATAGCTGAATGCTACCCCGTATCTTTTACTTGGGGCAAATATTTTGTAGCCTTTTTCAGCCCTGAAAAATCCTAGCAATACTAGTCCAAGACAGCTTCCCCCACCTCCTTTTACTGAGGTGGTATTTACTCTCTGCAAGCAATATCTGGTGGATCTGTTCAGGGAGCCAAGCTAAAGCCAAGCTAAAGCCAAGCAGCTGGTTTTGCGGTGAGGAAAACTCCAGTTTATTTGGATTCCTAACTTAAACTCCTAGTGCCCCTTCAGGAACTTCATACAGCATTACCTTCCAGCATCTGATTTGTGAGTGTCCTTGGGAAGAAGGCAGCAGTTATCTCTGCCTCGGGCATTATCATCCCTCCGTTGACTGCTCTTCCACCTGCCAGGACAAATGTCAGACCTGCTCGGCATATGGTAACTTCAAGTTTAACAGCAGATCAGATCTCAAGTGAACATGGCTCCTGTGCACTAAAAACGTGTACTTGATTCTAGAAAGCTTTATATACATGCTCAACTGTGTCTATGTAAGAGGCTGGCATTAATGGACAGTTCATTCACATGTATAAAAACGCTGTGAAGAACAGAGCCCGTAACTAGCCCCAGTGAACTCAAAGATACCACTTGCGTTCCCTGTTTATATGTATGTTTATCTACACTTTTGTAACTCTCCATGTATATTTTGTCTGGTTTCTCTAAGCATGTGTCTATGCAATGAAGTTAGACTGGGGAACAAAGATTCCCTTCAGTCTGATCTCAAATAAATGCTATGCTGAAACTTTACATTCAACATGTTTTATTTATCCATCAGTATTAGCCTCTCCCTCCCCACTTTCACCCCAGAAATGACCAGTTGTATCTGCTTCGTGGATGTCAGAATAAATGAAATGAAGAAGTATTTTACTGTTAAATAAATATCTTGGATTGAAAGTTATATAAACATTTAAAAGGAAACCAACATATACTGCAAGTTTTAAAGTTCCTTTAAGAAAAGATGGATTGTGCAACATTTAATAAGAAATACATTAGAAGTGTTTGAAATGTACTGGCACCTGTGGAATCATGGCATGGATCTGCCTCTGGAGAATCACCATATGCAGCAAGTCACAGGGAACTCTGCTAAATTACATCATCTCCAGCATTGCTTTGAAACAGAGTCAGTGACTGGCACTGACTCATATAGGCTTAGGATTAGGCTCTAATCCACAGCTTGATCTATATGGAATACCAAAATTTTTACAGTAGTGGTTAATAATAAAAATAATAATAAAAAACTTCATTACTGTCATAAAAATTTCCTGCATGCTGCTGCTGCAAATTCTCAGCATGTGATTTTTTTTCACCCACACTAACAGGAACATGTTGCAAGATGATGGAAGAAATTTTAAGGAAATAGCCTTATGATTAGAAATATTAAGACATGATCAGTGGATGACTGCAAATTCTCAAGGGCAACTGAGACAAAATGTACCATGGGAAATGGGATAAAGAAACATTAGTGGATAAATAACTGAATTATCTTAGGCAATATTTAAATTATACTGTTTCCCAGCGGGTACCACTTTTCTTCATTTAACTGGACGCTGCTCAGCTGAATGTTAACAGCTCCCACAAAGGCTCCTTTGCTTTTCACAACTAGCTTCAGTACACGTCCTCTGAGCTCGGTGACTGTGTCATACACAACCTGCAATTATACGCAGAGAAACACAAAAAGCATTTGCATGTGTGAGTCTGTCTGATGGGCAAAACACTTACTCTGATAGATCATTCAGGACGGGCATTACAACTTTCCAATGACTGCTTTACACTGCCCTCCAGAACTGTAAACCACTACCTGTGAGCCAAATTCACCCAAATTAGTGCATTTACCTTAGAAATGTATTTGACTTCATGTAGTTTAAAGAGAAAAGCTTCTGTCTATTTACGCTGATTAGTGAGTGCTTGTAAATAAATCTAAAACCCATGCTTGCAAAGCTTGTGAATAAAAAAAGGGCTATACATAATTTTCCCTGCAAAAACAGACTCTCATTTGAGTAGAATTTTAAACTCAAATGTGAAGAAATTCCAGATGCTCCATGAAGTCCACTGGGAATTTTGATAATGCTGTTGGTTTTAGGAGGGAGACTTTCAGACAGAGAATACTCATCATGACAGAAGTATGAAACCACCAGGTAACCCTAGAGATGTATAGATTATTATAATGTTGAAATACCTTTCCATAGCAGATACTTACATGTATTGCTCTTCTATGAAGATTAAACACACAAGAACATTGTTTTAACGCCAAGCACACACAGTTTTTTGGGTTTTTTTTAGATATTCATTTTGTATTTGTAACATGCTGCTTGGTAGTGCCTCAAGGGATTGATACATCTCATAAAGGCATCACACCAGTGCAGCATAACTCAAAATATTGTCCCTCAGTACCCTACTTACCTCTGATTAAATCTTGCACTACACATTAGAATTAAAAAAGCCAAAGGAAAAATGAGTTTTCTTTTCACCAAGGCTCTCATGAGACTTCATAATTGGTCTAGATCAAACACAACCTCCACAAAAAGTGAGAGATTTTTTTTTTAATTTAAAAATTGTGTGCATAAATGCTACCATTTCCATGCAAATACCCAAACATATGATTCTGGACTCATCTTGCTAACTGCATCCAAATGTATCCACTGTAAAAATACTTCCAAACTTTAATGGAAACATCAAATAGCAAACACGATATGTATTTCAGCCCACTCAGCACAAGTTGTAAGTGTGGAAAATCTCCAAGACTGAGCCTAACTTGAGACGGTGGAACAGACTAAGTTAAGATGTTTCTGTTACTCACAAATTGCTGTTAATTCTGCTCAAATTAAATGAGACACCTTGCTTAGCATCTCTTCAGAAAACAAAGGCCTATGGTTTAAAAAATATCATTGAAATTACCTTGATACTATGAAAGCACACTGGGATTAATTAGGAAGTGTGAATGCTTTATTTTCCAAATTAAAAAAAAAATAAATCTGGAGGGATAGCTTAGGCAGAAGGGGCTGCATTCAGCATTGATACCTATCTTTCAATCTCTGCATTACTCAGAAGCTTCTGAGCATAGTGGTTGATCAAATGTGGAAGAACACTACTAGCAGTTCAGGTCTCAAAGGAAAGCTGTGTTAGGAGAAATACATTTCATCTGAAGTCTGTATGGGTGGAAATGTTTTTCCTAATGTAGCTGCATTGGAAAAGTACTTAAGTTTTATAAGGCTCAGCCCCAGCAATGCTCCTTGCTCGGGATGGCTCTGAAGTTCATGGATGGACCTGGGAGAGACAGAATTTTTGGTTCTTCCACACAACACGAATGGGCAAAGGGGCCAGGGCCAGGATTGCTGGAGCACCATGTCCCCACGGAAGCCCCATGGTGTGCTCCCCACCCTGCAGGTGCTACAAAATCTCCAGTCTGGTGGATCACAGTAGCAGTGAGCTGGGCCTCCAGTCATTGGACACCAAGAGGCTTCACACTATGATCAATCTCACACTTTGCAGTCCAGAGGAGGCTGCTTTCATCTGATCCTAATATGCTGTTTCTAAAATGGAATTGCAAATCCAGGTAAAACACGGTATATATCATCAGGATGTGGACACAGAAGAAAAATGGAGTTCAGATAGCTGCATTACTACATGAATGAAAAAAATACTGCCTACCAACATTTCTGTACCAGGCCAGTTAAATCTTGAAATCCTTGTTTAGGAGTAATATTTGCCTCCCATTTATACAGCTAGATTAAAAGAAGCTGAAGTGCACAGGGCCAGATAGGAAATCAGAGGAGGAGCTAGGCCTGGAGCTCAGGTGATTCTGGCACCAAAAAGAAACGGCATCATTGACCTACAGGAGTCTAATGACATTTTAACAACGAATGAGGGACAGCTGCTTCACCTTATGTAGCCCTGACACAGCTCCTAGATTTGCTAGGAGCCAACTGTCCAGATCAGCCCGGGTGCTTGGGGCCGGAGGGACCACTCGGGCTCCCACCTTGGGCTTCCTGGGGCTCCGGCAGCGGATGCCTGCTGCCCCCCTCCTCCAAGGCAGCTGCCAAGGCCATAACAGGCCCGTATGACCCTGAGGCATTCACTGACATTCGTCCCCCACGGCAAGGGTAGGATGGATCCAATTTCCTCTCCCCATGGCTCCTCTGGGGCAATGCTCACTCAGCTTTGTCTTGGAGACTTGCTCCTGCTGCGGGTTGCTCCATTCTTGCAGGTGCTCAGGGACTGACCAAGGAGAAGACCTTGCACCATGTCACAGGGCCGAGGCCATGCGCTGCGACCAAGTTGCTGCTGCTTGCTTACATTTCTAAAGGTGAGAGTTTAAACTTAAATCACTCAGAATTGCCTTCTGATCTTTAATTTTTCATAGTTTACTAACCTACCCTGGGATTTCCTGAGCAGTTCTTATCCCTTTCAATCTTCTATGTGCAACTATGTTGTTATTTTCCTCGTCTTCTTCTCAATTGTCACTTTTTAATGCAATGTTATATCAAAGAGAATGCAATAAACAGCAAAATTCAAACACAGAAATGAGAAAAAAGAAAAGCAGTGCTTGTTAAAAGTGACTCTAAAACATTCAGTCTAGTTCATTTTATTGTCAGCCCTCCTGGACCCTCTCATCTTTACTCTCACACACACCAGTTAAAAAACAAAAATAAAATGCGCTTTTGCAAGGTTGATAATTTGCTGTAGGCAGTTATAAGCAATAAAAGCACAAAACTAAAGCCAAAAACACCCGAGAGAGGCACATTTCAGAATTTTCTCAGTCTTGAACACAGAGGGAAATTAATATACAGCTTCCTTCAAGCCATTTGGCTTTAATAAAAACTTATAAACTCATAAGGAAAGGCTAGTACATTTCTGTACATAGTATTTTGGACAGTAAGTAACTTAAAAGACAGCTGACTTGTATTTTTAGATGTTTTCTCTTCCCTGGGGCTTCTTCTGCTTCAGTCTACCAATCTTGGTCATAAAATGCCTATAGAATGGTCTCACATATGGAAGAACAGAGCTGCTAATAGCACAAGCATCAGGTCTGCAATGTCCAAGTTCAATGGAACCATATGTCCCTGCTGTGATTAGCGTTGCTGGTAAAAAAAGACTGAGCATCTGTAAATTAGGCTGTGAATTTTGAGTAAAAGATGCAGAAGGTTTTGTGGAATTTCTCTTAACAGCAGAAGGATGTTCCTATTTCCTTCACCACAATTGAAATCCCAGCCACTGAGTACTGCCTGACTCAGGATTTTGGAGTTCTATACTATACTTAGAATAGTATAAAAATGATCACAGAGACAATTGCCTTCTGAAGTTGTGATATGGTCCTTATCCATGGTTTATTTTGGATGTTACAATTAATGCTATTAGATAAACATACGATATTGCCTGTGTTTGAATATCCTTCAGATGTTATAATAAAGATTTTTTGGGGGGCAGTTGAATTAGCCTTATTCTCAAGTCTTATTTATTATCAAAAAAAAAAAAAAAGGAAAGAAAAAGAACATAAGAAAAAAATAAGTCCGTTTTGCTTTTATTCCATTGCAGTATCACAGGGAGTAAAAGCTGTCTCCGCTGTTAGTAACAGCACTAGTTGAGCAGCCTACTTACAGCTGCACTGGAAGCCAGCAACTTTTGTAATCAACTAGATGTGGGAAAAGAAGCAGTGTTATTAAAACCCCAGGATTGGGACATTTGGAGATAAGAGCTCTTAGAGTCAGCTCACTAAGTTACCCTTCAGCATGCCTTATCTACAAAACAGGGTGGAGTGCTAATATTTTCCATGCTTGCTCCTTTGAAGCTTGCTCAAAGTGCTTTTGGAAATTGCTTTGAGATCCTTGGGAGACTTTCTATATGTAGTAATTCTCATCTCCAATCCCACCTACTGCTTGGATCTTGTCTCTCAGTACCAAAGAATACAGTTTATGCTGCTCCCCATTTCGTAGTAAATGTCTCTCCATAAAAATGTTTATTTTTACCCCACAGATGACAGCACTTCAATGGTGAGTGAAATAATTATACAGGCTGTGAACTGCTAACATTTTGACACAAAAAGAGCTGGGTTATTTATTACATGTTATTATTCAGGGCACTGAAAGACAATTTAGTTTTCTATTTTTGTATGTGCATGTGAATAAGAGGATCCTTTCACTTAGTACTTTTTATGTTATTATACAAATCTGAATTAAAAACAATCTACATTTTGATGTTTGGGTTCAGCTGTCTAACATGTAACTATAATTACGGTGTAAGACTGAAGAGTGTGAATAATCTAACCCCCTTGCTAAAGAGAAACATAGAGACTCACTTCAAAGAAAGAGGCAAAACAGAAAACTGTACATATTTACACTCCATCTTAGCGTGTTCTGTTTGATAGTGCCCATTCTAACAGCTCTAAATGTTGTATTGTTTTATTTCAAAAGTGGACAAGGAAAATCAAATAAGAAATGATGGAGGAAAGTGGACAGTACTCACAATTTCATTGTAAGTAGGGTCAGTGCTTTTTGAAACTGCTCTTGTTTTCCTGCGAGTGACCTCATCAGGATCTGGTAAAAGATAAAATTCAGCATGTGCACTTGGGGCAGAGCCATCTGGGAGGCGCTGGAAAATAAAAGGGTTATAAATATGAATATCTATGTTCTAGCAAACAAAACAAATAAAGAGGTACCAAATGAAATCTCGACTTTAAGTAGACACAGAAATATATTACATTCTCAGTACTCTCTTGGCTAAATTGGAGTGGTAATGTAGTAAATAACAGGAATTCTTAGACTTCAGCTTCATATTGAATCAGAAAAAAATAAACGGAATAATAAAAGTGCCTATCTTTAATACTTTATGTTGCAGTGGAAATCCCTTAAGCATCAATCTGCTTTAACTCGATATAAACTGATACAAAGCCTAGCCCTTCCATTTTCCAGAGCAGTGCTGAGAAACTGGACTCTGGCCAGGCAGCTCCTACTGATTTAACCCCTAAGTGGAAATGCTGATGCCAGGGAGATCTGGTTGTTTCCAAGGGTATTTCGTGAAGGATTTTTCTCCTGGAGAGCCAGGAGCATTTCCTGCAGCAGTATGAACAGAACAGGAGTCTTATAATAACAGCGTGTCCCATTGCGCAGCTCTCTTTACCACTCCAGTTAAGATTACTTCTGATATCCCTGATATTCCAGTTGACGCTAGTCATTCCTCATCACAGCCAGTCTATGAACATGGCTCAATCATAAACTAACGCTGCTTGTGTGCACTTCTTGGGATAACTTCTGAATATCTGCAAGCCCACTGCTAAAGCAACCTTACAGCTACTCAGAAAACCCACTGGTAGCACGGGAGGCTTCAAAAGAAGATACAAGACATATAACCGTGAATAACAGATATCCTCTGAGCATGTGTCAGTTATTGCTTACCTTATAGTGAAGCAGAAGCCTCTGTGCTGGTAACACAGCGTGCAATCAGAAAGCAAAACATGGCACATAAAAGCATGCGTGTTTTTCAAAATGTCAGCAATTTCAATAGTATTATCAGCATTTTAGGCAGCAAGTTTATCTGACAGCAAGCCAGTGACAGAATGCAAATGAAAATGCAGTAAAAAAAGAAAAAAAAAAAAAGAGATTTTAAAATGGTCTGAGTAGATGAACCTAGCTCATTATACAGGCATTGCTTTTATGCTTGCCACTGTATTTTCACCTGAACAAAGTCATTTCTCAGGTTTTGATTATTCACAGTACATGAGTGGAAATAGAGGCTTTCTATAGGCAGTATCAACAACATATCTTTGAAAAAGGGGAAACAACTGGTGTCCTAGCAATGAATAACTTTGCTACTGGGAAGAAAAACAGCAGTTGTGTGTGTGAGCAACCAGTTATTGCATATCAAATCTCTGCTCTCTGATATCTGAAATGATCCTTCAAGGCAGATGAAGTAGTCAGCTGCATGGCTCAATATTGCTATGGCTTATCCTATACATCATCAAAGGACATACTGCTTAAATCATCGTATATTTTGACTCTGAGTGAACAATTAATTTTGCCATTGCTAAGCTCGCCCAAAGTATATTTTATTTAAAATGCACACAGGATTTAAATAAGTAGGATTCATCTACCAAAACAAGAATACCATTCAGTGTCAACAAAACTATTAGGTATTTCCCTAGGTTAGAGTATTATACTGTTAATACAGTATTTATGATTTATACTGTCTATTTAAATGCCCATCTCTATTGATCTACAATGATATTAAAACACTGATCAAGGAATACAAATACCAATAAGCTGAACAATCTCTTGAAAATCAGGAAGAAAAAGGAGATATAGCTTAAAGTATTAGTTCAAGCTCCCAGGATCCTCGCTGCAATCAAACTCTTTTCCTCCCAATGAAGAGTGTTGCTGTACCATGAAGGTCAACAGATTTTGGTTCTTTCAGAGAAAAAGGGGAGCATTCTTTAGGAGAGAAGGGCAGTGAGGAGGTGGGTCATGACGAAGGCCCTTTGTTCGTGTTCAACAGAAGCTCAGCACAAGAATCTCCACCATCTCAAGCACAGAAATGCAACACGGGGAGAGTCCTGTACAATTTAAGACTGTATAAATCATCCCAGCAGCATCCTGCCTGTGCAGCAATGCTGTTGGAGCTCCTGTTGCAAGCTCAGGTCAGCAGCGGCTGAACAGGGATCAGGGCCTGCATGGGGGCTACCAAGCTGTGATGGTGACGGAGACCACAGCCACACGGGCTGGTTGGCTGCGCAGCACGAGCCGAGGCCCACAGCATCCATTGCTCCCAGGGGAAGGAGCATCCGGAGGCGGATGTGAAACGCTGCTCTGCTTGAAGCTGCAAGGTTAGGAGAGGGCACGGGCAGCTGCACTGAGCACCCTGCACGCTTCAAGATGACAAAGACACAGATCGGGTAGTTTGCATCTGAAACAGGCAGCCTCTGTCACCTGCGGTGGGAGGAAGCCAAGCTCTGATTGCCGTGTGATTGCTTAACAGGGCCTGGGCATCCAAAGGAGAGTGCTATGAATTGGAAGAAAAAAAAAAAAACCCAAAACCCAAAAGCCAGATAAAATCCTTGCTGCACCTTTCAGTTGCTCCTTGCATCCTGGTCACAATTCTAGCAGGTTACCCAGCCTTCGGACAACTAAGCTTCCTGCACCAGCCAGCTCCTCCCTGATTTTAAGGAAGGCATATTGCTGTGGGCATGTGGGCATACGAAACGTGGAGAGAAACCTCAGTTCTTGCTGTCCCTTTGAATGCAGCTGCCTACACATTGAAAGAGGCAAGTGGGAGGAAAGGGTCACAAAAGAGTAGCAGAAAAGAGAATATTTTAGCAATTCACAGAAGAAAACTCAAGGCAGAGCAGTTGCTCTGGGATCTTTCAGAACTAAAAACAAAGCCACTTTTCATGAATAGTCGCAATCAGCAGAACAACTGTTAGTCAGTTTAAAGGGCAGCCACCTGAATTCTAACTAGAGATCTTAGTTCTGGCGGTCAGGGGATTTTTTTTTCTGCTTTACAGGTAATATATTTCTGCTTTAGCTTCCCTTGACGACAGACACAAACTGGGCAGATGAACTCCAGTTTCTACCAGTGACTGCAATGGCTCTGCTATGCCATCAAGGGATTAAAGAGCTTCAGCCCAGTACTTGCATAAGGACTCTGCTGAGGAAACAAACATCTTTGTTTCCTTAACTGCCCTCTGCAACTTGTGAGGTGACCCAAAACATCTATCAAAACCAACTAGCTCTTAAAAAGGTCCTCACTCATCACAAATCCATCATTCAAAACTGTAGAGGATGAGCATATATAAATCAGCTGGGGCTTTACAGGAGTAGAGTTTGGTAGGCCAAGGCACAAGTCACTGGACGACAGGGGAGCATTGGATAATAATATGACTATCTCTAAGCTTCCATACTTGGTGAGACTAGTCCAGCTAATCTTCTGTAGAGGCCCTTTTGAAAGTCTTTCAGACATAAGTCACATCTGCTTATGACAAGAGTTGCAATTGCCATGGAAGGAGTTGTACTTGGTCACATCCTCTGTACTAGCACAGAAGAAAAAAAACAGTTCTGGGGGCAAACTAGTCTTTTGTCAAGATTTTAATATGTGTTTTGAACAGCTGTTTAAATGAAGAAGAATGGAGAAAACATCTTTTTTTTTATTCCTAAATATGATCTCTTCTGTCATATTCCACCATGTCACATTTACTAAGCAAAACCACTGGATATTCTTTCATCCTTAACTCAGTAAGCACTGGCAGATTTACATTATATACTAAATAAATATGAAGAATATCAGAGACCTAACTGCCAGTTTCATTTGCTGCAAAAAATATATTTTTCTGATGGGTTCATTATTTTAACATTTCTAGACTTACATAGAATAAGATTTTCAGGAGCCTTAACAGTCAGTTCTGAAATCCAGCATGAAAATCTTCTGTTATTAATGGATCGAAAATCACTGATATCTTTCCATAGTCTAGGCCAACATGAAAACCAGAAGGTCCTTTGGGAATGCCATTTTTCACATTAACTGCTCTACAAAACTCTTACAGCTTGAATGTGTTTGTGGTTAAGCAAGCATTGAATTTTGTTTATATTTAAATCTGCAATCACTTCACTAAGCCCAAAGGAGTAGACTAAGTCTCCTGTAAAGAAAACAGATTACTTTTGAAAATGTTTAAAGGAAGTTACTCCCAGTTTAAATGCATGTTCTAGAGTACAGTTTAACCAAAAGCCTTCGTTCTTCTGTTATATACACTTGTAAATGAATTCAAGCTGTAAAAATGCATGGGCCTGAAAAATATAATACCAAGTTGCCAACAGAAATACCATTGGTTCCTTGCTATGCTATGGGCAAAACCCTCAGTGAGTTTGATCTGGAGATAAAAAGAAAAAAGAAATTAGTTGAATTTTGGAAGCTGACACTGAGTGCTTTTTTCAAATCCAAACAAGTGACTACCATATGATTTTCTCAGAGAATTACCTGCCTACCTGACTCTGACAATGGCTGATGTTTTGAAGGAACTGAGTTACAATTGTCTGTATGTATGTTTTTCAAAAGACAGTTTCTTTCTGAAATGTTATTTACCCCTAAAGCAATGTGAGTGCTGAATATATTAGAGAGGGAAAAAGAGAGAAAGAGAAAGCAAATAATACTTTGGATTTACTTCCCTCCACACCTGTAATTCAATACTGAAAAACTAATCCAGAGATATATCTAATGACTACGTTCCATTATTCATTCCGATTTTATTCTCCTAAACAAAAGAAGTATTGATATTTACTTACAGAAAAAGATGCAGAGAGGTAATGACTGGTGTAATTCAATTTTAAATATATCAACTATGGTGGGCAAATAATGGATGAAATTCAATTAATTCTTCTATGAGAACTACATTATCCTAATGACTTTACTCCCTTGATCTTTACTAACTATCCAAAATTCTCCTTAAGGATAAATTCACTGTTAACATTAAAAAAGGCCTAAATGCTTCTTCAAAATTTGCCATATTATAAACTATGCAGTTTAGCATGAGCATGAGCTCAGATGAGTTTTAAGGAAGTTTTGTGATGGTAAATGGACACTTCAGGGATAATTTATGGAAACATTTA